CTCTTGCTCAGGCTGGTCTTGAACTTCTGAGCTCAAACGATCCGCCTGCCTCGGCCTCCCAGAGTGCTAGGATTACAAGGATTACAGGCGTGAGCCACCCCGCCCGGCCTCTGGTGATTTTTAAAATAATGTTCAGCTTAATCCGTGATGAGTGCCTTGACATCTGTTAAGAGTCCACCAAAACAAAATAGTAGTAAGTATTAGCCCTACAATGCATCAACAAAAATCTGGTCCTCTGCCTCAACAGGCATAGCCATTAGCCACCAAAATTTGTGCTGCTCAGGTGCCCTGTGTCTTCTGAGTCACACTCTGAGGTTTGGGGCGTTCTCACACCAAGGGATCATCCCTTGAGCCGCTTCCACCTGAGAAATCCCTCCTAAATCCAACCCCTCCGAGACGCCTTAGGCTGTCTCAGGATTAATTGGGCTCCTTTCTTCCTGCGCAGGCAGGACATTTTCTTATCTCACGTTGGTCTTCAAACCAGGCGTCCTTTGGGCTCACGCTTCCGCGTTCGGCTCACCCAATCAGTGTCCGCCAGGGACTCGGAGCCGCTAACGGGACCCTGCCCTCCCCGCACCGCCCCGCGCCCAGCTGGCCAATCAACGGCTCCGTTCCGGGCGCGTCACAATGGCGCCGTCGTAGCTCCGCCTCCGGATGCCAGCCGCTGGGGTCCCGCCCTGCCGCGGTCCTTACGTCCTTCCGGCTCCGTCGTGGAAGCAGGACTGTGCCGCGTCTTCCGAAGAAGGTGGGGTTCGGGGGGTACCCCAAGCGGGGTCACGCCGTCAGGTAGCGACGGGGTGGGTGCGCAGGCTGCTGGGGCTGCCGTATCTGGGTCCCTGGGGCGTAGGGTCGATCCAGGGCTGAGCACGCTGGGAGCAGGGGGGTTTCCGGACGCGCAGCGTGCGCTCGACGGGCGGGAGCTGAGGTCTCGGGCCCGCCGTGCACCTCACGCCGCCTCTGAAAAGCCCCGCCCAGAGCGCGCTGCCGGGGGTTTCCATGGTGATGGTAAACAAGTCTCAACTGCCTCAGCTACAACTGCCAAGTCCCCCGCGTTCCACCCTCCTCTAGGTGCTGCGAGGGACGACGGAGGAGCCGGATGTGAGAGCGGGAGCGCGGAGACTCCGAGCCCGAGGTGAGGGGCGGCGGGAGCGGGCGGGCGGTGGGTCCGAGGTCGAGGGCCGCACCCCCGGGGCAGAGCGGGGACTAGACCCCCTGGGGCTGGGGACCCTGGGGCTGAGGTTTGGGATCCGGGAGGCGAGATCCGAGGTCGAGGGCCGCACCCCCGGGGCAGAGCGCGGACTAGACCCACTGGGGCTGGGGACCGCGGGGCTGAGGTTTGGGATCCGGGAGGCGGGATCCGAGGTCGAGGTCCGCGCACCCGGGACCGAGCGGGGACTAGACCTACCGGGGGTGGCGACCGGGAGGCTGAGGTGCGGGATCCGAGGTCGAGGGCCTTGCACCCGGGGCCAACTGGGGATTGGGCCTAACGGCGTGGGGACCGTGGCCTGGGATTGGGGATCCGGGAGGCGGGATCCGAGCTCAGGCACCGCACACAGCGGGGACCGAGCGGGCACCGGGGCCCACTGGCATCGGGGAGGCAGTGCGTGAGCCCAGGAGCCGCCTGGGGCCTGGTCCCACGGGGTGGTGACTGCGGGCTGAGATCTGCGGTCGGGGCGGCGGGGTTCGCGGCCCCAGCGGGTAGGGGCTGGCCGTCGGTGAGGAGGGGACGGAGGGCGGCGAGCGGCAGCCGGGCAGCCGGTACTCCGCGTGGGGCACTGGCGGCTGTCGGAGGGCTCTTTTGAAACGAAAGCTGTGCGCTCACGTGGCTGAGGGCGCGCGGAGTTGCACAAGACGCCCTTGTGGGAAGCTGACTCCGCCCTCCTCCCACGCCCCGCCGCCGGAGCCCCGCTCGCGAGCCTGGGGCCTTTCTTCCTCCTCCGCGGCGGCGCGTGTGCTGTGCGTCGTCTCCTGTTCTAGAGGTATCGTGTTGGCGTTTGGGGCAAAAATCTTTGCCTCGTTAGCTTAGTCGGCCGTTTCTTTCTCCTTGAGCTTTACTTCTTTGTACCTTTGAATGTATTCTGCTGATTCCTCGCTGTTCCTGGGGAAGTTGTGGACGCGGCCCTGGCCCGCACGGTGCGCTCTCCCGCCCTCCGCGAACCGCCTGGTCGCGGACCCGGAGAGCCCGACCCGGCCTGCCTCGCGGGGCCCCCTTCCGCGGCTTTTCCTTCCCGCGGCAGCCGTAGGAGGAACGAATGAGCCGCCTCCTAGTTTTCGAAACTACTCGTGGGGCGCTGGGGCCTCCTGCCCGCGACTACGGGCCCGCGCGGTGGCGGCGGCGGCTTCCCGGAACCGCCCGGGCGGGGGTGGGGGCGGAGCGCTGGGGCCCGGCTGGCCTCGGGCGGCCGGAGCCTGTGGAGCGGGGAGAGTTCCGAACGCTGCAGATAATCTTTTGGATTCAAAAAGTCATGCGGGCAGTACTGATCTAAATATAATTATTTCTATTACTTCAGTTATATTTTTTAAAGTTAACTACGTATTTGTTTCTGGACTTCTAGTAAGAATGAAAATTCCTCGGGTTCTCCGATTAAACAAAAAATATATTGAGATCTGTCATTGAAATGTGATATTTTCAGTACTAATTTCTATACGAGGTTTCTTTATTTTAAAATAAGTGAGTAAACTTTCTACTTTTAATGAATATTGAGAGATTGCTTTATTGCTGATGTTAAGCAAGTCCATCTTTTGCCTTTAAGATTTTATGTTCTTGTATTTCTCTGTGAAGATTTATGATTTACATATTATCCTTTTTCTAATTTAATAACATTCTTTTTTAGTATTTACTTTTTTGGTTTTCTTAAATGGCAAATGACTCTAGTTTTCACTTCAGAGGTATTGTTATAAAGCTTCCCTTTAAACATAAAATATTCAAGTAAAAACTCAAATTAATTTAACACAAAACATTGGGTAAATAGGAGAAGAGTTAGTTCTCCCATGTGGCCAAATCTCTGGGAATCCTGGAGACAGATAAGAGCCCGGTGGGGTAGATTGTGTGGAGGGGCTGCAGAAATGGCCGGATCCCTTTCCCTGGAAGTGACTTCCCGCCAATCCTCTCTCCCCCACCGGAGCTCTGGTTCTCTGGCTCTTAAGTAAACCACATTAATTGACCCTTACTGGGTCCAGGCACGGAGGTAGGTGTTTTACCGCGTTTTCAAATCACTTGCTCATGACTACTCTAAATTGGGTTGCTGTATTATCTGCACGGTACAGCTCAGAAAATGGAAGCTGGGGGAAGTCACTTGCCCAGGCACACAGTTAGGACTGAGTCTTGGGTAGACAGGGATGCCCTCCTCTGCCAGTGCCCCTGTCCACACCGGTTGCCGTGAGCCAGTGTTCTTGTGGAGGACAACAGGGTGGGCAGAGGAAGAACTGAGCTCAGCCAAGACCACTCTGGCTTATTTTACAGCAAACCCCAGACCCATAAGATTTTTATTCATAAATATTTAAGCTGTGTTTCTAAGGACTCTGTTAAAACAATACCACAATACCATTATCACACCTAAAAAAATAATTCCTTGATGATCTAAGTGTTCAGGGTTCAGATGTCCCTGACTGTGTACTAGATATTTTTATGCAGCTGGTTAGTTTAAATCAGGATCCAAACAAGTTCTTACTTAATATTCGATAGATATCTCTTAATTATTTTTTAATTCAGAATAGTACTGTCTGATAGAAATATAAAGCAAGCCACATCTGCAATTTTACATTCTCTAGTAGTAAAAAGAGATGTGGTTCACTTTAATAATTTAACTTAATATATATCCACAATATTATTTTGCATGTAAGTTTTTAAATTAACATTTTCATATGAAGCCATCAAAATGCAGTGTGAATTTTACATTTACAGCATGTCTCAATTTGTAATAGCCACATTTCAGTTGTGGCTAGTGGCTGTTGTATTAGACAGGGATGATCTAATGGATCCCCTTTCTTAAAGGATTCTTACAGTATATTTGTAATGTCGTGTATAGTTCCCTACACTCTTGAGTTTTTCTGGTTGCATTCTCATGGTGGTGTTTGAGTCCCTGTTCTTTATATTTCCTATAAAATGGTAGTTACCTCTAGAGGTAGTTCTGATTCTACTTGAGAGTTTTTGGAAAGAATACTTCATTCTTAAGGTGCCTGCACATACTTCTTGGTGTTTTCTGTGATGTTAGCAGGTATTGATGATCATTACCTAAATCCATCATTTTTTTAGTTGTTTCCAAATTAGGAATATCCTAATTTTATATTCCCTCTCATTTATTAGCAGGAATACTTCTGTATTTTCTTAATTAATCATTTGATTATTCTAAGATGTACTTTATATGATAAAGGCAGGTCAAGTTTTTGATTCCTTTTTATGTTTACCAATATCCAGCATAGTGAATTCAATCCCTATCACGTGCCAAAGAAAGCCAATGATATCTTTTCTAGTATCGTTATGAAGTCATAGATTTTATTTAACATGTAGGATGTATTTTAATCCACAGCATTTTTTACTCTCTTTGCTCAGATTGTCCAGTTTTTGGCCAGTGAGAGCTGTTCAGACTGGTTCCAGTTCTTTCTTGACACAACTTCAGCTTAGCATTTCTCATAAAACATTAAAAAAATTATCTTTCCTCATACTTTGTCCCCATTGACATACCAATATGAGAAATTGCAGTAATTGACTTTGAAATGATCAACTACACTTGCATTCCTGAAGTAAACCTAACTTGGTCATGTTGTTGCTTTGTGTATTGCTGGATTTGGTTGGCTAATATTTTGGTTATGATTTTTTAATCTGAGTTTTATAATTGAAATTAGCCAGTGATACTTGATAAACTAATTCTAAAACTTTTTTGGAAATAGAAAATCAATTCCAGGTTGATTGTAGGTTTACATGTAAAAATACAAATCAAAACAGAGCTTTATACATTAAGAAAATAACCATAGGGGCTTGGGCTAGGAAAAAGATCTCTTAAACATGATACAAAAAGCAGTAATCATTAAGGAAAGGAGCGACAGACTGGAATTAAAAACTCAACTCCTATTAGGTAGGTTTCTCCTGACAGTATGCTCCTTTTACAGAACTCTTCACTTAGTGTAAATACAGATGCTCCTCTACTTGCGATGGGGTTACGTTCTCGTCGCAAGTTGAAAGTGCATTTAATAATACACCTAGTCTTAAACATGCTTAGAATACTTAAGTTAGCCTACAATGTCAGGCAAGATCATCTAACACAATGCCTATTTTACAATAAAGCATTGGATAGCTCATGTAATTTACTGAATAGTGTACTAAAGTGAAAAACAGAATGGTTTTATAGGTACTTAGAGTATGGTTCCTACTTTCATACCGTGGTAAAGTTGGAAAATTTTAAGTTGGGGACCATCTGTATTACACATTCCTTATCACACTGTGTCTCCTTATAAGTCTAATTGTATCTATACACGAGGGCTGTCAGTGACATCTCCGTTCTTCTTAATCTTCTAATTGAGGGCCCTTTTCTGCTCTATGATATTTGGTTAGAATAATGCTGTCCAATAGAATTATGATATGAATGACAAATATAATGTTTTCAATTTTTAGATTGGTGCTACATGCCATATAGTTAATCCTCTTAAAGTATATACAATTCAGAAGTTTTTAGTATGTTCACAGAGTTGTGAAACTATCACTGCTATTTACTTCCGTAACAATCTTATGTTAAAACACCCTTCTATTCCTGGGATACATCCCACTTGTTCATGGTGTATAATCCTGTTTATATGTTGCCAGATTTGGTTTGGTATTTTGGGAGGAATTTTGCCTGTATACGTTCATCAGTCTGTAGTTTTCTTGTGATGTCTTTGTCTGATTTTGGTATCTGGGTGTATTAGTTAGATAGGGATATCAAAGAAAGTACCATAGACTGGTGACTTAAACAACAAATTTATTTTCTCAAAGTTCTGGAAGCTAGAAGTTTTGATATTAAGATGTTGACAGGGTTGTTCCTTCTGAGACAGGAGAAATGACATATGAATAATAGGAATTCCAGAAGGAGAAAAAGACACAGATGGAGGCAAGAGAAGAGATAAAGAATGGAAGGGAACTTTCCTGGCTTAAGCTCAATTCTGTAGTTCCCCTCAGGATATTTTAAAAAGACACAACCCAGGCACATGTTGCTGTTAATAAAATGCTTTTAAGTTTAGAATATAGAGAAAACTGCGTTGTAAAAAGTATGTCTTCCACCTATTATTTCTTTTCTTTTTCTTTTTCTTTTTTTTTTTTTTTTTTGAGACATTTTTTCCATTTGTTAACTGATAAATTCGAAACTCAGTAATTTTTAGTACCAGAAAGGTTTTAATTCTGTAATGGAGTATCTGAATGTGCTTGTTACATTTTTTTCTTTGTGAAATAATTACAGTTTTTGTCCAGCAGTTCTGGTGTCTTAAAACCTGCCTGAGTGAGGTGTATGTTCTCTGGGTGCTGAGCCCCTCTCCTGTATATTGCCATGTTCCTTTCCTTCTCCCAGCTGTTCTCTGTTCCCCAGAGGCAGAATGCTGTGGTCTCCTGAGCTACAAACAAGGAGCACAGTCTCAGCTCCTGTGGCAGGCTACTTGGACCCTGACAAGGTGTCAGTTTTCCATGGAGGCCCATCCCTCTTAGGCTCCCAAGGGGGACACCTTCCTGAGGGGGCTGTGGGCACCATGAGCCTTTCTGCCCAGCTCGTGGATCTGACTGCATCACTCAGGGACTGCTTGTTCAGGGTTACAGGAAGTGGTCTGGGAGTCTTACCTTCCCATAATTGTATTTTTCTTTAGCAGAATCTGTACACACCCATTTCTTAGCTAAGCATGGATCTTATTTCCTATTATGGGGGGGAGAGAGCCTGCAGTTAATCTAAAATGATGAAATTTTCCCTCACTTGAGAACAGATTTTATTTATCTTTAGGAACAGAAGTCTAATAGTGCTTCCTTTTGTGAACATTTTAAAGAATTCTCACTTGATATATACATTTTTGTGTTTTCCTTTGTTTACCTGAGATATCTTGATACTTGAGTCATTTGCAAAATACAGTCGATACCAAAGCAACAGTTCTATCTATGTTGGGTAAAAATTTGTTCCTTATGTTCATTTCAAGCATTGTAGATAAAATTTACCTAACATTACATTATACTATTCTTTTTGCTTTTTAGTAACACAGCTTTTGAGAAATGAACACTGAGGAAAACTGTTATTCCCCTAGACTTAGACTTAACTATTAACTACATTAAGTAAGCTAAAGGGCCTGATAGCTAGAAAGTAATGGAAAAGGCTTTCCTGTTGCATGCAGGTCATGACAGATCCCCTTTGTTGGATAAAAATTAGTAATGGCATAAACATTTAAAATGTCAATGATCCATCTACAGCTTCTGGACCTTAATAGTTCTTTGGATAGCTCTGTGTATGCAGCTTGACATGTTATGCAAATTGGGTCAGAACTCTCACACTTCATAGCCATGAGCCCCTGAAAAGTTAAATAAATACAACTATGTTATGTTGGTCCTTTTTTTTTTTTTTTTTTCAATGAAGCTGGTCCAGACTTGCATCATATATTTAAGTGAATTCATGACTTTGAGAAGTGTTTAAAAGCCACTGACTTGGGACATTACAAAATTGCTGGGTTGGAAGAGACTCTTGAGGCCATTAAATCCGATTTCCAGTGACACACAGGTCTAGGCTCAGTTCATATACCATACCACGACAGGGAGTTTTCCCCCCAAGACCTATCCATGCTCCTCATGTAAACAGGTATGAGCAGCAGAAACTGTATCCTAAGTTCTATTTGGTGAATTTAATAAAAACTGAATATAAAGATTTAAAAGGATTCACCACAAATAAAAATATTACTACAAAGCAAACAACACCAAAACATATCCTGGCAAAGAGCTGCATTAAAAGATAGAAAGAATTTGAACAAGTGTCCGGAGGGGATACATAGGTAGTAATGTAAAAGGAAAAAAAAATAATATGGGCTTCTAACTTCTTGTTTTAAACCTTAGCTATTTATGGGCATGGGGGGGAAGAGTTCCCATTCTTGCTGTATGGAATTCTGTCACTCTCAGTTCCCACCTACCCCCTGTTTATGCTTCCTGGCTGTTTAAATGTCTCTTCCTCAGAACCCCTTCTAAGCTAATCCACATTTTCTATTTTTTGTTATGCCAAAATTTGTCATAAATTTGCCTGTGCATTTCTTTATTGATTTCCTAGTCCACTGTTCTGTGTACTCACTAAGGCAGGAACTATGCTTGTCCTTCCCACTATCTAAGCCCAGCCCTTAGCACAATGTCTGCATCTTATATAAGGGCACAGTGTATTTCTTGGTGAATGAATGGATCTCCCCATGTTTGGTAAATTTTTATCTACTGCACATCACTCAAATCCTTTCACATTCTGCAATTCCCACTTCAGTCTTCCTGGATTTGTCTCATTGCTTCCCATTTTGTCTCCATGTGTCTGTTCCCACTGTTCATTTTCCAGAGAGCATCTAGTAATGTTCTGTTAAAAAGCAAAACTCAAATCACACCACATTCCATTTTGAAACAATTTAAGTGACTTCCCATTGGCCTTAGAATAGCGTCCAAAACACCAAACCAGGCCTTCAAGGGTACAGAGAACCTTCCTCTGCTACCTCCTCCCAGAATCGGCACAACTTGATCCTCTGGCTCCAGACTTCTGTACACATTGTTCTCTGGCTGCCCATGTCATGACTGATCAATAATTAACACTTGCCTTGCCTGAGTCATGAACCAGTTAATGGAAGAAGGCATAAATAAAACTACTCAAGTGCAACAAATGCGTTCGAATAAAATCAGTGATATATGCATGCCAATCATAAGTTACCAAGAATATATATCTGATGAAGATTTTTTTTTTTTGAGACAGAGTCTCACTGTGTCACCTGGGCTAGAGTCCCGTGGCGTCATCCTAGCTCACAGCAACCTCCAACTCCTGGGCTCAAGCAATCCTCCTGCCTCAGCCTCCCAGGTAGCTTGGGATTACCGGCAGGTGCCACCATGCTTGACTAATTTTTTCTATATATTTTTAGTTGTCCAGCCAATTTCTTTCTATTTTTAGTAGAGACGGGTCTTGCTCTTGCTCAGGCTGGCCTCGAACTCCTGAGCTCAAGGGATCCACCCGCCTCGGCCTCCCAGAGTGCTTATGAAGCACTTAAGACCATTTTCATATTGGTACTCTTTTTGAAAACAAGCCAATTTTCTGGCTAATTTTCCTCTATTAAATGTGTTTTTGGTCTGTTTCTCACTTTCCTTGGAATGACTGGATTTTTGAATCCTCTGAATTGTCCTCATTCTCTGATAGTAAGAATAAGCAAGGAGGTAGTGTAGTGTTGGTGGCATTTTTACTGTGGGCTATTTCAAACAAGTAACGAAAGTAGACTATATTAAAATGAACTCCCATGTACCTGTCACCTAGTTTCAACAGTTACTAGTCATGGACAGTTTTCCCCTACATCCCCACCTACTTGCTTCCCTTGTGGATAATTTGCAAACAAATCCTAGCCATCACACTTTATTTTACAACATAATTCTACTGGACCGAGTCAATGTTCAAATATCCCCTATTGTCTTATTTATAAATTTTTATCAACTTGTTTGAATCATGAGCCAATTATGTCCCATATATTGTGGATCCTTGATAAAGCTGTTAAATTTCTTTTAATCGGTAAGTGGCACTTCAGTCCTTTTATTTGGAACTATTCCGAGTAAGGACTGGCTCTTTTGTCCTTGTAGAGCTTCCCACAGTCACACTGTATTCTCACTTAGTACGTTCTTCCCTATAAAGGGTCTTGTAAAGAAGTAAGATTACAGTAGCATAACAGCAAAATTTGTAATTCCTAATATAAAATGTCCAGTCACTGCTGACATCATTACAATTGCTTTATAATTATTGTCCGTATCATTTGAATTAAGATTCAAAGGTACGTAAAATATAATTGCTTGCTAGGTATAAATTTTAGGAATTGTGTTTAAATTCTTCTGGTTATGCAGACTGTTTACATGAGTCCGTGGTTAAGTGTACAAAAGAAGGTATTGTATGCCCACTAGTTTCCGTTTAGTCTGGTGGTTTCTCTTCCACACTGTAATGCCCGTCCCGGTCCCCTCACCCTCTCCCTCCCTAGCTGGTGCTCAGGACTTTCCCCAGCTTGTTCCCTCGGCTTCTTTCTGGAGAACTCACTGAGAACTGTCTTCCTTCTCTCGTTGCTTTTCTTCTCTCCTTCCCCTACTTCCTGCCTGGCCGACCGCGCGGGCCGCGGGCCGCACCTGCAGGCACGCGTTTCCCATTGGTGACATCTTGGCGGGCCCGGCGGGGCACTTCCTCCTCTGCACCCCGTGACCCACGTCCGCCTCTCGGCCTCCGATCACGCGGCCTCCGCTTCCCGGACTCCGGACCCCACGCTTCCTAGGTCCCGACTGCCCATCCCCAGCGTGGTGAGCCGCCTTGTGGAGGCCCCGGGAGGCCGCCCCTGCAACTCTGCCCCTTCGACACCGGGAGCGGGGCCCGGGCGCTCGGCTCCCCTCCCTGCCCGCGTCCAGCCGCTCCCCTTTCCCCCTTCCCGCCTCCTCGTACCCTGCCCACGCGTCTGGGAGCTCCCGGGGCTGATAGCTCCAGCCCCTGCCGTCCGGGGAAGTCACCCCTACGCCCACCCGTTGCCCACGGGTCCCCGGAGTTGTCCCCCACCCCCCCGGGAGGCACTCCCTCGCTGTCCCAGGACTCCCCCACACCCGGGCCCGCGAGCGGCGCCGCCCTCCCCCCCCCGCCCCCCGCTGCTGGCTCCGCCCCCGCCCGGAAGCTCCCGCCCGAGCGGGCGCGGGCCCCAGGGCCGACCTTCCTGCTGGGCCGGGCGGTCCCGAGGCTGTCGGGTCGCCAGGTGGAGGCCGCGGGAACGCAGTTACCTTGTCACACGACCTCAGCGGTGCTTCCCGCCAAAATACGCACAGCCGCACCCCTGGGGTTTCCAACCTAGCAGAAAGTGTTTGCCCCTGGCCATTTGAATTTCTGTTTCAGGTTAAGAACAAACAGAAGATGCACCTGGATTTTCCTCGGAGCCCTCTGCATTGTTAAGCTTCGGGTGGAATTTGGGGGCCTTGGGCTGTAAGCCTTTCTTGCTTCATAGAAATCAGTCCTGCTGCTTCCGTGGTAAGTGTTAGAACAAAACAGTCCGCGGCATAGTCCTGAGGCCGCGGTTCCCGTGGACTTTGGTTTAGGAGCAAACTATCTAAGTAATTGAGGCACTCGGCACAACCCTGCTGTGTGTGCTCCAGCTGTCTGGAGGTTAAAATTTGTGCGCACAGTGAAGGGAGGGGTGGGCTCCTAGTGAAAGCGCTGCTCTGGCCTCCCGGGAGCACAAAGATATGTAAAGTAGGTGAAGCCTAGGTCTTAACCTGGGCTTCTGTCCTGAACAAAAGAATGTTCTGGGCAGTGCTTAAACCGCCCTATTTACTCTGCAAAGAAACGTAACTGGTCCTAGTACTGTCAGGCGCACCCTATCCTGTTTATCTTGATTGGATCTGCCTGAAGGCAAGTGTAAATCCCGTCGAACCTGTAGGGGGGGTGAAGGGCACTTTGCAGAGGGCTTTTAGAAGTGCAGAGTCTTGGTCCCCACCCTGACCTGTTTTAGGGTCTGTATTTTAACGAAATCCCTGGATGGTTCACGTGCATTAGCACGTTTGAAAGCCACAGATCTAGAACTTGGAAGAAAGGCATCACGACCCAGTCGCCAGGAGGAGTTGAGCAGAGTCTTCCCAGCAGTTTCGTGGTGCTGTGGGCTTTCCGTCAGCCTTCTGTACGCAGTGCCATGGTCCACAGGCTCACGGGGTCTTGTCCGAATGGGTAAAGTGGGTCTGGCTGACAGCTTATGCGTGTCCCCAGAGAGTCCCCAGGTGTTGAACTTCAGATAACCCTGGAAGGAGCGGGGAGTAAACAAGGCAGAAGTGGACCAAGCTAAGATGACTGGGTTCCACTGTCTCTTGCGGGAAAGGAGGAGGGGAGTATGGGTGGTTACAGCCTCTTGAAGACCTGGTTCCAGAGTATCTGAAACTATACCATTTCTGAATAGGTTTCCTAATAACTGTAATGCTTTCATGTGTATAACTCCTCCCAATAGTATCACGTAAAAATCACAGGGAATTGTAAGGCAGGTATAATTCTATTTTAACACAACAGGTTCAACAAAATTAACTGACTTTCGCAATTTCATCTTTCCAAAACTAAGAACACAGGTTAGTTCTTCTCACAAGAATTCCATAGTCTTCAGCCCATGTCCTAGTGATTTGGGGACAGCTTTATCACATGAATGTTGGTGATGATAGTGCTTATGATTTTCCTACTGAAAAGCATATTTCAACAAAGTTGCCCAGTAACTTGGAGTCTTTTGGGTGTGTCCCCACGCTGCCCCTAGAGGGGTTCTTATAAATCTGGCGGAACAAGGTCTAGCAAGCATTGTTGCCAGTGCCCATCCCAGAAGTGCCCCTCTCCCTCCATGCTCAGCTCCTGGCCTCGATATTTAAATTTACTCTCAGTGATATTTAAATTTACTCTCAGTGCCTCCCCTTTCCTGTAGGCTCACCAGTTGGGTGTTTCGCTTCTGCTATGCTCTGTATTACCCTATGAAAAGATAAATCTCCTAGGTGCTGTTAGGGCGGGAGGTTTAATTGTGTTAGCCTTGGGGCTATAAAGAGCTTCCCGGTGGCCACCTTGCCTGGAGGAATTTAAAGCACCCAGCCCCAGAGACTGCGGGCGCTCTGCTGAGTACAGGGGTTCCAAAGCCACACCGCCAATATTGCTATGTTTTTTTTTTTTTTTTAAGGACAGTTTGTTACCTACCAGAAGTGTCAACCACTGAAGTCTTCAAGGTTGTTCTTTAAGGTGAGCTATTTTAAGAAACGTCATATTTCAGTTACAGTGTTTATATTTGATTTGCTGTATTCATAGGCTCCTGGAGTAAAAAAAGATTTTTTCACTAAATTTGTGTGGGACTCTTTTCAGTTGAGTTTTAGTTAATGAAAAGTCTTAGGACTTCTGAGAAATGGAAGAGAAAGCTAATTCTGGAATAAAAATAGACAATAAATATTTTAAACACAGACAGATGTTTTAGAGAAGAATGCTCTCTTCACCTTGCCCTCAGAGGAAATCATTTTATTTCTGGAGCATTTCCTGAAACATTTGTAATGTGTGATTTTTTTTTTTTTTTACTCACCACTATACAAACAAGGATATAATGTGTAAGGTGTTATTAGCAGGCATTTAAAGTAATTCTTACATGAAATGTTAACATTCTTTTATGCTTCTTGCATGTCTTTCAGCCTAGCTAGGCTGCCGAATTCTCAAGGAAGGTGTTGACCCCACATGGTCAGCAGTTAATCCCTAGCTAATCTTGGGCCTGCTGGGTCCGGCCTGTGCTGACGGTGCTGTCACAGTGGCCAACAGAACAGGCACACACGGTCTGTCCCCAGCAGGCTCCCAGTGTGGATCTGAAGACACCTTTTATACAAGTCACAGCAAGAGTGCTGTGGGGATATAGAGCTACAAGACTTATTTGTGGAGAATGGGAAGACTTTTAAAAAGGTGGTTTATTTGAGCTGAGACCTTAAGGATTAGCAGGATTTAGCTAGACAGAAGGTTGGGCAGAGTATATTTAGAGAGAGAATTAGTGACAGCCTCAATCGTGTGCGTCACATCCCTGAGGGAGCAGAGAGCATGGCACATTCCAGGAGAAAAAAGAAAGGAAGTGATATGACCTAGACAGGAGAGTGTTGCAGGCTGAAGACCCCAGTATCCCTGTGGTCCTTCTTCTGAGGCCAGTGGGAAGTCACTGAGGATTTGGAAACAAGACAGTAACATAAGTTTTAAAAAGAACACTTGAGCTGTGGGTTGGATTGCAGTAAGTGCTAGCCATTAATGCTTGAGGAACTGCTAAAGTGGGTTACGGGTAGCCTTCTGTAGGCCATTTGTAGGTGCTTGGAAATAGGGAAGAATATGAGAGAAATGCAGAAATAAAGTAACAGTTTGGTAATTCACATTACGAAGAAAAGAATTATTGTGCTCAAACACTGTCATTCAGTGTGTTAGGGACTCAGTGTAGAGCTGTTCGGCACTGTTACTGTTGAAAAGGCCAGGGTATAATAGGATTTAAGGGTGAGGGTCCCATGGAGAATGGGATCTCCCAAGAAAGTTGATGAGTTGATTGGATCTGAGGGCTTGGAAGAAGTGGCCCAAGGATTACTTCAGTTTCCTTCTAGAGCCTTTGGGTGCAGGTAAGGCTGTAATTGGAATACAATTGAAGAGAAAATGCCAAGATTATTTGTGGTATGGAGGGGAAGTTGGGAAGTGGGGTTGTGTATGCCAGTCTGGATTCCGAGAGACCCAGGGGGCAGGGTGGGCCACCTAGAAGAGAATGGGACCCAGTGAATCCCTACATTTAACGTTTGAGGAAGGACTTACAGACTGAGATAGAATGTCAAGGGAATTAATAGGAATCCCTAATAAGAGTTGCATGATAGGAGTGAAGCGGGGAGAGAGTAGTGTTTCCAGGAAGAAATGGTTAAATCCTGCTGTGGGAACAAGTAAGATGAAGGTAAGAAGACACTTGGTCTTCTTCCCATGCAGATCCTTGGCACAAGTGGGATCATGCCCTAATGTGGTGGGGGTTGGAGGTGACGTCAGTAGAGCCCCTTCAACAAGATTTTATTGGAGGAAAAAGCGGGTAGCTGGAGGCAGAGTTGGCATGGAGAAGGGCATATATTACGTGATTGGTTAGAACTGAGCATACTTGATTGCCAAGGAGACAGTGCACAATGGAGAGAGAAAAGAAGAAAGAATTTACATAGGGTGGGTGAGGTTGGGACCCAGAGCAGAGCTGTTGATAATGATCTCAGCTGTAAGGAGAGGCCGCTCCTTGTTTACAAATTCTTAGACTGTGAAGGACCTTTAGGAGGTCCCCATTGCTATTGGAAGTGGAAGGTGATCAATCTGAGAGTAAGAGGAGATGAGAACGTGTAAGCCACCCTACACAGCTGGGGGCTTTGGGTGACCAGAGATCTACAGTATGACTGGGTGTATCGAGGGCTGCTCTAAGGTTGGTGACCCTGATTTTCTACATCAGTTCCCAAGTGAGGGCAGCTGTAGACCGCGGGGAACATCTGGAGACATTTTTGGTTGTCACAAGTTAGGTGGGAAGTCCTACTGGCGTCTAGTGGGTAGAAGCATCCTACAATGCATGGGCCTGCCCTGCACAACAAATAACTGATCCAAAATGCCAGCAATTCTGAGGCTGAGAAACCGTAGTCTAGAGGCACCATTTTGCCTGGCTGTGTACAGCTGTGCGGAACAGCCATGGAACAAAGAGATATCTGGAATCTTCCAGGGCTCTGGATTTCCTTGGCACATACAGTAAAGGAAGATGTATGTATAGTTCTGTATACGGTGAGGAAGGACTGGAGTGATAAGTGGGGTCTAAGCTGGATCAGGAAGAATTGGGGGGCGGGGGGGACTGTAGGAAAGGAAGCTGAGGGCTCTCTGAGGGAGGAGGACAGTTATGGGGGAGGCAGGAGGATGTGATTACGAGCGGGACTTCCACAATGTGGCTCTTAGACTTTGGGAGTCACGGGTGACAGCAGTGCCTATGGGAAGTGACACTTTATTGAAACATTGAATTTCCACATACTCCATGTACTCTTTTTGAGCCTTACCACTTAGGTATTTTGTGTTGCCTCTTTTGTTTATATGTGAACCTGTGAATCACACAATTTGGTTTCTGCATTTATTTGCAGTGTGCGTAGCTAATATTCTGCTGGTGGACTTCTGTGCTTCAGTTTGGCCTCACCCTTAACTAGTATTTTGTTTGAATGACAATTTAGGAACAAAATGATACCTCCTTGGACTCTGGAAGCCGTTACTGTCTTCTGTCCTGGCAGCCTTGTTGTTAATAAGAACACTTGATTCTGGTTCACCCCAGTGTCAAAGAAAATGCTACTCTGTATTGTGATTTTAAAACTGGCTGCTGTTGTGTTCGTCCCTTATTTTTACTTATATGGTATCCAGCCACAAACAAGCACATGGGTTAAATGTAAGGCCTGTAGTTGAGGAAGAGACTTCCCAGAGGAGCTCTTATCACATTTCATCATCACAAGTATCTGGAATAAATATAAATCTAAAAAGAAAGTTTGCTGGCTCTAACCAGACTAAAACTTAGATTCCTCTATGTTCAAGGGACCACCTTTATATGAATCTTTCTGTCTTTTACTTGATTGATACAATGATATATCCCATCTGTTTTCTTCAGTTCTGAGAAATTCTTACTTTCTCTGAATATTGCCTCCAAATTCATTCTCTTTTCTTCCCTTCTAAAACCTGTAATAACTGGCCACTAGAATTTATAGATTTTAGGTTGCTGGCTAAAGCCTCCAGAACACATCCTGCTCTTTAAATTTCAAATTTTATTCTTTGTTCTATTTGCTTGTCTTTTTTTAGGCCCCTGATGTGTTCTTATTCAGTCTGAGTGACACTGTTACTTTTTTCTTTGAAAGACTTGGGATCGAGTCTTACTTCATTCATTCTTGCCTTCCTCACCTGTAAAATGGGGGAAATAATATTTAGTGCATATTCTTGTTAAGCATATTAAATGAAAACTTATGTAAAGTAGTTTTTGCTTTCTTTTCAGCCTCAAAAAAAGCTGTGCCCAAGCTTGTCTGACATCTGCCCTGCCAAGTGTCCATGATGCTAGGCCCCGAGGGAGGTGAAGGTTTTGTGGTCAAGCTCCGTGGCCTGCCCTGGTCCTGCTCCATTGAGGACGTGCAGAACTTCCTCTCCGACTGCACGATTCGCGATGGGACCGCAGGCGTTCATTTCATCTACACTAGAGAGGGCAGGCAGAGTGGTGAGGCTTTTGTTGAACTTGAATCAGAAGATGATGTAAAAATGGCCCTGAAAAAAGACAGGGAAAGCATGGGACACCGGTACATCGAGGTGTTCAAGTCCCACAGAACCGAGATGGATTGGGTGTTGAAGCACAGCGGTCCCAACAGTGCCGACAGCGCCAACGATGGCTTCGTCCGTCTTCGAGGACTCCCATTTGGATGCACAAAGGAAGAAATTGTCCAGTTCTTCTCAGGGTTGGAAATCGTGCCAAATGGGATCACATTGCCTGTGGACCCCGAGGGCAAGATTACAGGGGAAGCTTTTGTGCAGTTTGCCTCACAGGAGTTAGCTGAGAAGGCCCTGGGGAAGCACAAGGAGAGGATAGGGCACAGGTATATCGAAGTGTTCAAGAGCAGTCAGGAGGAAGTCAGGTCTTACTCAGATCCCCCTCTGAAGTTCATGTCTGTGCAGAGGCCGGGGCCCTATGACCGCCCTGGCACAGCTAGGAGATACATTGGCATCGTGAAGCAGGCGGGCCTGGAGCGGATGCGGCCCGGCGCCTACAGTGCAGGCTATGGCGGCTACGAAGAGTACAGCGGCCTCAGCGATGGCTACGGCTTCACCACCGACCTGTTCGGGAGAGACCTCAGCTACTGTCTCTCAGGCATGTACGACCACAGATACGGAGACAGCGAGTACACAGTGCAGAGCACCACCGGGCACTGCGTCCACATGAGAGGGCTTCCTTACAAAGCAACCGAGAATGACATTTACAACTTCTTCTCTCCGCTCAACCCCGTGAGAGTGCATATTGAGATCGGCCCGGATGGAAGAGTGACCGGCGAAGCAGACGTGGAGTTCGCCACTCACGAAGAGGCTGTGGCGTCTATGTCGAAAGACAGGGCCAACATGCAGCACAGGTACATAGAACTCTTCTTGAATTCGACGGCGGGGGCCAGCAGTGGGGTGTATAGCAGCCAGGTGATGCAAGGCATGGGCGTATCAGCAGCCCAGGCCACCTACAGCGGTCTGGAGAGTCAGTCAGTGAGCGGCTGCTACGGGGCTGGCTACAGCGGTCAGAACAGCATGGGTGGGTACGATTAGCTTCATAGGGATGCTGAAGTTTCTTCAATCAAATTTTCGCAGGCAGCCAACAAGCAATGAATGAAGAGTAGTTGTAACTCTAGAGGAAGTTGTGGGACCCATTTTGCACCATGAGTTTGTGAAATCTGGATAAAAAAATTACCTCTTCAGTGTTTTCTCATGCAAACTTTTCTTCTAGCATGTGATATTGAGTAAACTAAAACTATTTTCAGCTTTTCTCGATTAACATTTTGGTAGTATACTTCAGAGTGGTGTTACCCGAGTTTAAGTAGTTTCAGTATGTTAAATATGGACCTTCGCCGCCACATCGCAGTGAACACACTGGGGAGACGTGCTTTTTTGGAAAACTCAAAGGTGCTAGCTCCCTGATTCAAAAAGAAATATTTCTCATGTTCATTCTAGTTTATGTTTTCATTTAAGATCTTTTAGGTTAAGTTTAAGCTTTTTAAGAGTTAGTTTTGAGAATTGAGACACAATACTAATACTGTAGGAATTGGTGAGGCCTTGACTTAAAACTTTCTTTGTACTGTGATTTCCTTTCGGGTGTATTTTGCTAAGTGAAACTTGTTAAATTTTTTGTTAACTAAATTTTTTTCTTAAAATAAAGATTTTTTCACAATGACTGGCACAAGATTATCTACTCAGCAAAAGGTAGCAAAATGGGTTGTTGAATTCATTTTATTCCTAATGTATTTTAGTGTGAATTTTAAAATTTCGTACATCAAATCTATGCTCTCCCTTATATTCTTACAATGAGGCTAAATAAAGGTTTAATAAAAATGTTAATTACGTGAATGGTGGAAATGGTGACTAGAAACGTACATCCCTGGCAGAGTGGAGTAGACACTTGCAGCCCCGGGCACCCTGGTTTGTGTGCGCCGTGGTCTGGAGCCATTCATCGGATCCTGCCGGCCCCTGCCTCATGCTGGAGTCACGTCTGTTGTTCCCATAGCTAGAGAGCTTTGGTTTTGAGTGAGGCCATTACACACGTTTCTAGTTTTTAGAAAATGGGATTTGGACTTTTTTTTTTTTTTTTGGTGCTGTGATTATTTTTATGGGATGCATTCCTGAATTAGCAATGATAGGTTCTAACCGGATATGCATATTCTCAAGCTTGAGACCTGTTTACAAATTGGTAGTAAAAAATTTCTCTCCACCTAGCAGTGGAAGACTGTCCATACTCAAGGCAGCTCTGCCCACAGTGTATAGCACCGTCATTTTAACACTTAGGACGTTCACTAATGGGGTTTATTTTTTTAAATCACAACATGCAAAAATATTTTGATGCCATTACAATTCTTCCAACTTCATTTTCCCACTTATCTTTAATAACTGTATAATGGAACCTAGATGTTCTAGTTTTACCAGTTTAAGGATGCTCTGCGGTTTTCTGCTTTTAAAGAAAATGTTCTTGGTTGAACCCTGAAGGTTTCATCAGAAAATTAGGTCTATGTGGAAAGACTAGCCTCACTGGTCTTCGCAGGCCAAGCTTGCCTGCCAGCCTTTGCTCAGTGTTCTGCATCAGATGGCCTGTCACGGCAGCATCACAAGGAATGCCAAGGTGCAGGGACACAAGCAGAATGAGGAACATGCACTGGGAAGACAACAGGAACGGTGCCACTATTCTAGGCCCTTCTGGAGTCTCTGCCCATCCCCTGGGCCCGCCATGCACAAGCAACAGCAACCAATAGGGAAGCAGAGGCCCACAGGTTGTGAGACAGACTGGAGAAACCCACCCAGGTGGAGTTCCAGTTAGGAGCTTTGGAAATTGCACTTCCTGGTGTGGGCTGGGGGGCCATGAGGCTGAGACCTCAGATTTCACATGGCAGTGGAATCTCCAGGCATACCTTCACCCTGGAAGTCCGCTAAGTTTAGGGTACATGTGTGGAAGGAGTGGGATCCAGGAACCTGGGACAGGAAAGTTGGGGGAACGTGCTAGGTGACCCAAAATCTCTGGGCCTGCAAGCGTGGGACACTATTGTTAAAAGGAGACTGTGCCAAAGCCTTGAGGTAGGTGATAGTCCTAAGATATGTGCCCACCTTGTGGCCTGCCCTGAGTCTCATTGTTTCCAGAATGCTTTGGCAAACTACACATAAACCACACCCAGCTTGCCACCTGTTTGGCCCATAACCTAAGAATGGTTTTTGGTTTGGTTTGTTTTCTTTGAGATACGATCTCCCTCTGTTGCCTGGGCTGGACTGCATTGTTCACTACAACTTCAAACTCCTGGGCTCAAGTGATCCTCTTGCCTCAGCCTCCTGAGTAGCTGGGACTATAGGCACCTGCCACTATGCCCAGCTAGCTTTGCTGTTTTCTTTTTTTTAAAGGAATGGGGTCTTGCTATGGTGCTCAGGCTGGGCTCAAGCCATCCTCCTACCTCGATCTCCAGGATTATAGGCATGAGCCACCACACCTGGCCAAGAATTGAGTTTTACAAATGGAATTTGCATCCATTTGATAACCAGGAACTCCAATTAAGCAACATACAATGTCCCTCAAAAAAATTCCATTATCAGTAAACCTGCAGTGCAAAAAGCTGTACTTATTTTCAGTTTAATGTGAAAACAGTTTTGCCTTTTTGCCTACAGAAGCTAAGATGTTTATAATCTGGCCCCTTAGAAGTTTGCTAACCCGGTTGCAGAAAACTAGTATCAGGACTGAGCACGGCACAGAGGGAAGAGTTCTTACTCCAAAAGGAAATGGACTTAACAAAAAAGCTGCAAGGCCTGGTTAGAATGTCTGGACAGGACCTGTAGCACATCAGGGGGTCTGGGGGATGCTACCGGAGGGTTGAGTATGAAACTGGATTGAAACGAGACATTTCTTATAAGTCAAGATTTGGGAATCTGAGCAAATTGCTCAGTTTATCCTAATCTGCCGGAAGCACCGTTCAAAGATCATCCCCCCACAGGTGGGCATGCAGGGTGGCCAGAGAAAACACCAGGTAAGTCTGTCCCTGGAAGGATCTAAGAACACTCACCAGCGTTTTTTTTTTTTTTTTTGAGGCAGAGTCTCACTGTGTTGCCCGGGCTAGAGTGAGTGCCGTGGTGTCAGCCTAGCTCACAGCAACCTCAAACTCCTGGGTTCAAGCGATCCTCCTGCCTCAGCCTCCCAAGTAGCTGGGACTATAGGCATGTGCCACCATGCCCAGGTAATTTTTTCTACATACATTTTTAGTTGTCCAGATAATTTCTTTCTATTTTTAGTAGAGACGGGGTCTCGCTCTTGTTCAGGCTGGTGTTGAACTCTTGACCTCGAGCGATCCTCCCACCTCGGCCTCCCCGAGTGCTAGGATTACAGGCGTGAGCCACCGCGCCCGGCCCTCGCCAGCATTTTGAAAAATTTAGTGGAAGCTCTCCTCTCAGCCAGCGCTGGCAATAGGAAAAAAACGGATGACAGGATTCCAGAAGATGAAACACAGGTGTGAGGTAAGCTGTCGTGGGCAGCCTTGACCAGCCCGAGTCTGTGACAAAGGCCAATAGCAAGAGTATTGCGTGGTTTAAACAGCCAAGGAGGAATAAGCTGGGAGCAGAAAGCTGATGTCGGCCATTTCTGTTGAACATCAGGATCTTGTTGTATTTGTTACCAGAACAGAATCAAGTCTCAGACCCAGAAGCCATCAATGGAAGTGGAGGGAGGGCCTGGCATTATTACAATTGTATAAAGAAAATATTTCATGAACCTCCCCCCAGCCCAGGGCCAGGAGAGCGGATGACCCTAGTCCCTCGAGGGCTGTTGGACATAGGGTGTGAGTTCGGGTGAGTACTGGGGACCCAGAATGCCACTGTAGCCCCTTTATTAGAGCGGAAGCATAGCAAGGCCAAGTTCATCTCACCGTGGGTCAAGTGCGTGTGCAGAGCTTCCGGTTATCTCCCTGAGTGAGTTAGTGGGGAGGGGTACCCTGGGCAGATAAGCCCACGCTGGATCCCTGGCTGGTGGAGTCAAGAGTTGCAGTGGCACGGAAGGCCAAGAGGAACCACTCGGATGGTGCTCCCCATCCAAGGCAGCAAGATGACAGGCGCTGTAGTGGGTTGGGGCCGCACATGCGGACAAAAACGGCAAGCATCGTATGCCCTTTTAATTTGCCTGTCTGGTTCCAACAAGAAACCAGATGGATCTTAGCAGGGGACAGCAGATGACCAGGAACTCGACCGAGTCATTGCTCCAATCACAGCTGCAGTTCTTCCAGTATAGCTCTACAAGCCTCTGACACTTTGGCAGCTACTGACGTAATGAATCGTTCTTTTCCATCAGCATTAAGTAGATTAAACAATATTTTGCCTTATAACATGGACAGCAAAATACATTCCCTGTCTTTCTCCAGGATTCTAACTTCTGTATGTTACAGTACAGTCTGGAGAGACATGGATCACCTGGCAATGACTGACCAAATTGGTGACATGCTATTTGGACTTGGTGGGGAGGAAGCAGCAAGGACTCCGGATGCCCTAGGAAGACCCGTGTGCTGGAGGGAGGAAGAGTGTTTGGAGTCTACAGTCATGGGCAAGGGTCAGCAAACTAGGGTCTGTGGGCCTAATCTGGCCTGCTGCCTGTTTTTGTAAATGAAATTTTATTGGTACACAGCCATGCCCATTTGTTTACATGTTGTCTGGCTGCCCTTGTGCTACAACGGGCAGAGAGATGAGTAGTTGCATCAGAGGCCACAGTGGCCCACAAAACCTAAAATATTTAAATGTTTACTATCTGACTCTTTACAGGGTATCTTTGCCAATCTGTGGCCTCGGGCAAAACTGGGGCATTTCCTCCAAAGTAAAGGCCAAGATATTGCATCTTGCAACTTTTTATTTATTTATTTAAAGGCTAGTCAAATTTAGCAGTGGGGGGAGGGGGGGTTGTATACCCACTTCAATGACACTAATGTTGAAAAGTTTTTTGTTTCTTTTTTAAAGACTGGTCAAGTGCAGTAGTGAGAAGGGGGGAAAGAGCAGAACAAGGAGTTCCATCTGTAACTGACTGAACCATCACAAGACGCCTTCCAACCAGCCGCTGATGTTCATAAGGATAACCCACTACCATCAGACCCACCACACCTTACAACTCGTATCACTAGAAAAGACGCATCATTTTGGGTAGGTAGGACTTTTTGGATTTTGGAGAAAGCTTCTGTGACACTTGAAAATACTGCTCCTGCCCAATTATCAGGTGACCAGAAGGCGACAAGGGTTCGGCCACCCGCTCTGCCTCTGCTACAAATGACAGAGGAGCAGGCCCCAGCACAGAGACACCTGTGTTCATAAATGATTCCAGGAGGTGTCTCTGACAGGTCTCAACAGACGTTCACAGCCCAAACCCTGAGTGTTCTGAATCAAGGCCGTATGGCTTTTGCAGGACAGAGCTAATTAGCATTCAAAAAGCGGCTCCTGGGTACTGAGCAGAGACCAGCCCCAAGCGGGGAGATAACCCCCCGCATGCCACCGTCATCACTTGGGTGCTGGCAGAGGCAGCAAGCTTCATGGCGTCTCAGTTTTGTTTTTAGTTTTTGCGTAAAAATTCTTGCACATATTTCATTTGGTTTGTTCCTAGATACGTTTTTTTTTTTTTTTTTT